GTGGGGCATCTACCATGACATAGTCTACAGCCTAAGTAGCACAGGACTAACCAGCAGATGCTCAATAAACCATGTACAACTCTGTGAAGCAGCTTTATCTGTTGGAAAAAATAAAAATGGCTTTCCCAGAAAGAAACCAACAATTTGGCTAAAATTACTTATCTCTGGTCTTGGCTTCTTCAGGGGGAAAAGTGGATGATTGAGATATTTCTAGATGATGACCACTTGAAATTCTTTCAAGCAACAAAACACCTGTCCTATCAATTCAGGGATCCCCAGAGACTATCTCAGAAACTTCCAAGAAATGTCATTCCACCCTAAAAATCCACAATGTGGTCTCATTCCAGCTTTCCCTAACTCCCACAGGAACTTGGGAAATTCACTCCCATTCAAAGGCACAGAGAAGTTACAGTTTGCACTGACTGGCAACTCCTGGCATCAGTACCATCTATATAACCCAATTATTCCACTTGACCTTCATCTCTATGTCCAGCCATTCTTAATGTCCACTGAAGCAGTAACATTGAAACTGTGTTAAGTTTTTATCTGTGTGTGGTGCTGGAATGCCTACGGAATTAAACATAAAGCAGAGACCATGACACCATCAGATGTAAAAGATTTTGAAGAATTAAACAAGCACATAAATCAAGAAAATTAATTCACATTACGTACAAATTTAAAAATAAGTATACACATCATAAACAAGAAGAAAATACTATATATTTTGATGAGCTTCAATTATTGAAACTCAATAATCTACATGAAACTCTTGAAAAACAAACTTATTTCCTCCTTGAATCAGTGCACCAGGTAACAGCGTTCCTTTTCTACGAAGAAAAATATACTTCTATCACTGTAAACAATGAATATGAATGTTTTACTTAGTAAGCATTCAATAAATACTTCTTGAATTAATGAATAAATTTTCCCTAATGATGCGTAGTGTGATTTTTTTGTAAATCCTAAAAAGAAGGGGGGGGGCGAGTAGTGCTGTATGTTTAATTTTATTTGATGAATATCTAATATACCATTAATTAGTGCTTTCAGATTACAATCCTGACCTCGACTAGACTTTCTCCCATAAAATGACTTACTGTTATAATATAGACACTGTTTAAAAGGTAGAGTATCATGGCATACATTAAAAAGAATTTTTTTAATTTAGGACAAACCACAAAGAATATTTTTTGGCCAGTAGTTATTACCAATTTCCTTTACTAATCAGAAATTTAAAAAGTAAAATAAATTTAAGTTCTGTACCAACTACCAATCCTATAAATTACTAAACACAGATTTTAGGCACTAGTGTTACAGCCTTTAAAACTTTTTTCCCTCTGTTAATAAAGAGGAAAGGAGAATGCACACTATCGTTTATAGAGGGCCCTATTTACAGGATAAGAACATAGAGATAAAAAAGATTCAGACTTCTGACCACAAGGAGGTTCATGGGAAAATTAAAAACCTGATAGAGCCCAACATTTGTTCCTTTGGTAATTCTCCCATCCTGAGAGTTATCTAGTTCCAAATCCAACTGAAAACCTTCCTCACTTCTTTCCCTTCTTCCCCCAGCTTCCTTGACTGGTAACAACTCATGCTGATCATATCTTTACTCAGTATCTCTTTAGCATTAATGTACACAGTTTACAATGTATTTATGACCTTTCCTTCACATGGTGCACTGGAACTGCACCAGAAATAAAGCTCAGGTGAAAAACCCATGTCACTGCACATGGCAAGAACTCAATGAATGATCAGTGACAGCTTGATGGGATTGGGGTGGGAATAAAATCCCCATCAGTCTGCTCTTAGTAAATGCCCACTGTAGTGGGGTATCTGGCTAGACACTAAACAATACTGACGACATAACAAAGGACTACAGGAACAAAAATAGGCAGTAAGCATTCTATATTAAATGAATACACATGAAATATCCTGGGATCTATGGCAATTCAACTTAGATAAAATAGTCTATAATAAAAATGTCAAGTGACTAAGGTAAAAAAAAAAAAGATTAATGTATTTAAGGGCAGAGTAGGCAGAAGTGATAATGTGCATTAATTTTTACAAACCAACTACACTGGGAAAGAATCTTAACAATCCTAAAACAAGTGTTAGCGAGGATGTGGAACAACTAGTACATTGCTGGTGAGAATGCTGGTAGTGCAGCCACTTCGGAAAAAAGTCTGGCAGTTGCTCAAAACATTAAACATAGAGTTACCATGCGACCCAGCCAGTCCACTCCTAGGTATACACCCAAAAGAACTGAAAACATATGTCCACACAAAAACTTGTACACGAATGTTCACAGCAGCATTATTTATAATTGCCAAAAGTCCACTGATGAATAGATAACCCTATATATACTATGGCCCAGCCTCTTCACGTCTAGTTTACTCTACAGACACAGTCACACATGCAGGTAGACATGTACACTGATGCTACTGCAGCCATTTGCAGTAGGGAATGGAAGACCCCCAAGTAACTATTTATTACCGTTAAATAAATCACACTTCAGCAATACCATGCAGCCATTAAAAAGAGGACTGCTCTGGTTGGTATGGCACAATTTGTAGAAACTTGAATATGCATAAAAAATTAAAGGGAAAGAAAATATTACTGGGGAGATTATATCTATGTATCTTCCATGGTACCATTTGACTCTATAAATGTGCATGCATTGCTTTTTAAGTTAAGAAAACAATGACTGATGGGAAAACAAGTTGGCAAAAATGGGACCAGGTTGCCATTTGCTGTGGATGAGGCCTCAAGCCTTCCCTACAAGGCCAATAAAAAGTACCGGTATTCCCGACCCAGCATCCAAAGTCACTTTAATTTGTCTTGTATATCACACCAAAATAGACTGATTCAGTATTCCAGGAATCCAAGACTGTCACTAAGGGACACCTGGAGAAATCTCAGGGAAAGTTGACTCTCTTACTTCCCTGGAGTGACCTTACACTGAGGCTGGACCCTTCCATTATCTGGACTTACAATCTAAGCAACAACATTTTGATTTTACATAATGCTCCAACTCTTTTCTCAATATTCTGCTGATGATATTTTCTGAAGTTAATTTATTGGCCAGTGTCTCAGGAAAGCCAGCCACACTGCATTTCTTTTCTCAGTGAAGGAGGAAGATTTACTCCAATGACTTTGTTGTCAAAAACTTCCTTTTTGACTGGAGACAACCTAAATGTTCATAAATAGGGAGCCATCTAAACAAGTTATAAAACACATATACATTTAAAGCCACATATATTTTTTCATGGCTTTTAAGATTTTAAAACCATATTTACTTTGGCCTAAGCAGTAACTAAAAGTAAATGAGGCAGTTTTGCCCATACTAATATAAAACATAGATCTACTAAGAAATAGTGTGAAGATAAACAATGTGCAAAACAAGGATGTTGTATGCTACCGTGCTTGGGTATGGCCAGAGTATCTCCATGTACGCACTCCTAGTGTACTTCTGGAAGGATTCACAAGAAACTAGGAACATGCATTGCCTCTGAGGAAGGACACCCAGAGGCTGAGACCAACTTTTCACTAAATACTCCTGTGTACCTAGAATTAAGAGTTCTGTACCATGTAAGCGTGTTACTTTCCCTAAAATGAAATGCTATTAAACAAAGTTTCTTTGAAGAAGTATAAATAACGAAGGCATAAAGAATGTGTGGGTCCTCCACCCCCACTCCTTCTCGGGAGGGCCATCTCCACGGAGTACACACCGCGGGGGGACCTGGTCTCATCCTCAGCAAGCTGGCTGCACCTCCTGCAGCGGCATGCGCCACCGTGGACCCAGCAGGTGCTAGATGGGGACAGGGACATAAGACGACCCCTTCCTCCTCCCTCCTCCTCTTTTCCCAAGGGCCACCCACCAAAGCTGAGAAACCTTCCGCTCTACTTTTAGCTTTTTTCAAAAATGGACCTTAGTTTACAACTATCCATCAACCTGGAAAATAGTTTCTACATTTCTGTTTGTCTGAAGACTTTCTAAATTAATGTTCTGACCACTCTAGTTCACCTGGTGCATCAAAGGCTAAGGGCGGAAAACAATTTATAAAAACCCCAGACACACTGAGGTTTACACGAGATTTACACAGTACACGTCACAGAATATAGACTGCAAATTCCCTCAAAATTGTAGACGGCTATGCTGTTTACAAAGCGTTTCCGCATACATCATCGCATTTAATGCCTTCACACGCTTCAGTGTCGATCCTGGCAAACCCAAGAGCTGCCAAATTGGATTTATTAGCCTACAAGAATTGTAGAATCAGCACTAATAATGAAACAGCTTCAACGGGCTGCTTTTCTACCTGCGGTGGCTGGCTGTGATTTCTCAAAAGTGACAACTCTGGGCATTCAGCATGCTGACCGGTTCAAATGCCATCCACGTGACACGTTGCTTCTCGAAGCCCGGGAGGGAATGACCGCGTGCGCGCGCTGGGGAGGGGGCGGTGCACGGAGGGCCAGGGCAGGGAGGTGGCAGTCGTGCCCAGCCGGGGTACGCCGCCCAGGCGGGACTCCATTTCCTACCCAGTAGCGGAGGTTTGGCAAACGCCACACAAACAGGGCAGCTCCCCTGCGGGCGTGCTCCGCGCGGTCGGGGAATCCTCTGGGGTGACTCGGAGGTTCAGACTCCTGTGAGGGCCAACCGAGCTGGGAGCCCTAGGGGACGTTATCAACCCGAACTTAGAAAAACCCCGAGGCGCCGAGCTGACGCCAGCCATTTGGAAAGGTGACCCTCGACCCACCTTGCTGCGGTAGGAGGGAACCAAACGGGTAAAGTTACAGCTCGCTACAAACGCAGATGGCAACTCGGGGTAGAGGGGTGCTCCCCCGGCGCCCAGCTCCAGAAGGGGGTGTGGCCAGCTGGGGCTTTTATAGGAGTGGGGGTGGAGGCACCTCCACTGCCAGGGAAGGGGGGGGTGCTGGGACCCCCGCGTAGGGTGCCGTGTTTCCTGGGCGCCCCGCCACGCGCTCGCCCGCCAGCTCACCGGTGATGTCCAGGTACAGGTCCTCCGGCTGGTCCAGGCGATGCAGCTCCTGCGACGTGGAGCTGCGGATCTTCTTCACTCCCAACGAAGACGACGAGCCGTTCCGCGAGCAGGGGGGCGCGGCGGCCCAGTTCGGCCGCCGCTCGTTCTTCCGCTTCATGGAGGCGGCAGCGGTCCGTTAGGGGGCCACGAGCATGGCCCCGCGCGCCCCACGAAGCCCCCGCCAGCCCAGCGCGCGGGCGCTCGGGGCAGCGAGCGCTGAGAGGCGCTGCGGGGACGGCGGGCGCCGGCCGAGCCCGGCAGGAGGCGGCCGCGCAGGAGCTGGAGGAGTGGCCGGGCCCACCGCGCCTGCCCCACTGCCGGCCGCGGCGCGCAGCCCTGGCTACAGCGCCTCCTGCCGCGGCCGGCGTCCCCCAGCCCGCCCCCAGCTGCCCGCAGCCCGCTGGCGCGGCCGAGACGACGGTGCTGCCGCGGGCGGCTGGTGCTGCCCCGGGTGACCGCGCGCGCCCACCTCGGCTGCGGACGCTGCTGCCCAGGCACCCGAGTACAGCGGGCCGCGGCGCCGGGGGACCCCAGGAGGGTTGTTCCGTGGAGCTTCATTCACAAAAAAGGGCCCACAACCCTCCTCGCGGCCCGCAGACTGAGGCCTTTCATTGGTCGGCGAGTCGTGACGTCACTGAGACGGGACCTTTCTACAGGCAGGTACCCGGTGACGCCATAAAGAAAAGTCTGAGTGGTTCCGCCAATCAAAGATAAATGTGTGTGGCGACACCCCGCCAGCTCCCCAACTTTTCTGTTTTTTCTGTGTTTCCTGAGTGCTAAGATCCCAGTTCCCAACTTCCGTTAATGAGTCACCAAAGTTTTACACAGCCTCACTCCAGTAACTTAACTCCAGTTCTTTGGCATGCATATGTTTTAAAGGTTTTTGGTTTCCCTTGTAATCGCGCCAACTAGAAAGAGGGACTTTTGCCATGGCTGCTGGCTTGAACTGATTAAATGATCCGCTGCTATACAAACTTAAGGTAGAGCTGGTTTCAGAACCCACAAACTGTTTAAATCAGCTATGCATTTTTTACCCACCTATGCGCTGCATTCAAAAAGAACAATCAAGGGCTTCTTAATAAAATTATTAATATTTTTCTCGATAAAATTACCGTGGAGACATTATATACCGTAGTGGTTCGCACCTCGTAGCTCTGCATCTCGAAATCCAGTACCCGCCTTCACTCAGTAATTTTATAGACCAGTTGCTATGTTTACCTAAGGGGTCTACAGGTCCAATTATTGAAGTATTGAAGTAAGTGGCGAATTTAATCCTTGAACTTTTATCCTGCAAACTGTGGAGTCATATCCCTTTGTTTTTCTCCTGGGTTAAAATAATGCCTGACCTTTCTGGAACTTAACCAAAACTGTCATTTTGCAGGGCCTTTAAACAAATTTACATGGTAGCATCTTAAAGGGTGAGAAGATTGGAGAGCAGTCTATGCATTTCGTAGCCAAAAATTCTACATTTTGCAAACTATTCCTACTTTTTCACCAGCATTTCCACGTTTACAAGGCAACCTCTAGAAGAGAAAGGTGAATTTGAGTCAGTCCCCCAGGAAGCCTCTCAGAAACGTAAATTTGGATGGAGTACCTCCTAGAGGGACTATTGGACTTGTCCAAGGCCTTTACCTTAAGTGCTGCTGATTAAGGAGGAGAGGGGGCTGAGGGAAGAGGGTTCTGCATTTCGTCTAAGTGGGACAGTCTGCAACTAGAGATCAGCCACTTAGACCAGAAACTTAGTAATCATGTTCATTCTTTCCCTATTTCCCATAAGAAATCGGTGAAGTTTTTAAATTAAAAATGGTCTATGTGTTTGTCTGTAAGGGCAGCAAAGCCAGAGAAAGGCTGTGAAGTGATGTGTAAATGACCTGGGTAAGCAGAAACCTACCGGTCCCAAGTCCTTCCTCTGTTTTGACCCGGAAGAGGAGGCTCTTCGCCCCAGTCTAGGGGCTCAGCAGTAGAAAGGCCACCCTTTTGCAGAATATCTGGGATTTTACAAGAGTAGATCTTGTGTTTTGTTTATTGAGATATAAATGGCCTATAGCATTATATTAGTTTCAGATATACAACATAATGATTTGATATTTGTATAAATTGTGAAATGATCACAATAAGAGTAGTTAACATCTCAGTAGTTCTTGTTTTGAATAAATATTACATGGGAATTGTCCGCTTGGCTTTGCAGCATTAAAGAAATTCAAGTACCACATGACCGTCTATGTATTTGAGAGCGACTTACCTAAATGTCAAACTAAAACTAAAGTGCCCAGAAGCTCACTTATATCAATTTATTTTCTCTCACCTTCAAATATAATCTTGGGCTAGAAATTCTAATAAAATGCATGTTTTCAATTTTTTAAAAGTATCAAAAATACAGGTATTTATGTAAGAATGTTCACATTTTACAAATATGTAATTTTACAGTTTTGTTAGTATAAAATCATCAAGAGAGAAGGTATGTATGATGACACTTTGTAATTATGCAGAAATACCATCATTCTTACAAAAGGAAGTCAATGTGCTAGGTATACACTTTAAAGTTTTAAACCCTATTTATGTTTTGTTCTTAGGTCATGTTTAGATAGAGATAGAAAAATGCTATTTCTTATTGCTCTTTCCTTTGTGTTTGACACTTCTCTTGAACAATTTAACTCTTCTCTCTGTTCAGTAAGGATGAACGGGCTCTGAGAGTTTGGCCACAGGAAATGTAGTTTTCTTGGTTGGTTGGTGAGTTTGTTGTTGATTGTTTGACCACTGATCATAGAATTTTAGAGCTTGAAAGAAAGAGCCTTGACAATATTTGGTCCAAGGCTGTCCTTTCACACTAAATATGTGGGGACCCACATAAGCGGCCATGGCAAGGCAGGAGCGAAAAACTTAAACACTCGAGGACTCCAAGTTGTCTTTCCCTGAGCTTAAAGAACAGATGCATCTGGCTGTGATCCTTAACATTATGGACTGCACAGTGAAAAGCAGCAAAAGGAGAGGAAGGGGTTCTCTAAATTAGCCCTTTCTCCTAGGTAAATTCACCCTGAAAGGAAAACAGCTTTAGAGCATTCATTTTCTTAAATGTATATTTCAGATAAGTCACATTCTGAAAATCTGAAATCTTACCCTGAAATGTGTAGAAACTGGTTGATAGATACGTGATGTTAAAGTTTCAAATGATAATATAAATTTTAGAATCAGTAAATTATAGCATGTGGTAATTTGTTTAAGGTCAACTTTCCATAAAAACAAGAGGATTTAGGTGGCAGGCATATGGGAAAACGGACACATACTAAAATCTTCACTAGTGTGTTTAGGAAAAATTGGTACTGTTAATATTTCATTGGATATTCTGGTAATCTCAACATTAACCTGAAATCCCCCATGTTCCTGACCCTGAGACTGAAAATCTCTTAGAATTGTGAAAGGGAAGAAAATGAGTATTTATTGAGCTCCCACTACATGCTGGACACAGTACCAGGGGCTTCACACAAATGCCCTGTTTGCTGTTATTTTTCTCATTTTACAGGTGCAGAATCCCTCATTTGACAGTTCAAGGCACTTATTTATACCCTGTCATGCAGTGAGTTTGGGAACCCATGGCTATTTCCTGGGGCCAGCACCATTCTTCACAGGTTTTGAGAACAGAGTTTGAAAGGATCTTTCCTTGCAAGTGAGTTTGTAAAATTGAATAACCTCTATAGTGTAAATGTTGTAAGATTAAGTTTTTACTTATTGTGAATTTTCAAAACAACATTCCTGATGTTCCTTTGGTTTTTTGGTTATGTACGCTTCCTCCCACACAAAAAATAAAATAATAATAATGGAATGCTGGGTTCGAGGGATTGAGCGTGCTGGTTATTTTGAGTCTTGTGATCAGGTTATGACTAAGAATGCTTTCACCCCAGAACCAAAAAGAGGCATGTGCCTAGGGGACTGAGTAAGCAGTACCGACCTCTTTCTCTCATTTACCTTTTAAAATATGCTGGCATGCATTTGACATACTGTCAGTTATTCAGTATGCCAGTGGAGTAGAATTTAATAATCTGGGAAATATGGAAAAAGATCCATGAAGATCAGCACATTCGTGCTGTCCTTGGCGCCACGCTTCTACCAAGACTGAATGGGTGCGTGAGTAGCTTCTGAAAGCCAGGTCTTATTTTGTGACAGCGGCTTTTTACCTCAAACATTTTTTTTTTAAGACTCTTGAGTAAGAAATTTTTCTTTCTCTTTGGTTTTATCTGAAATGACCAAATAATGCCTGAACATGTGATTGTATTTTTAAATTTAAATAAAAAACAAATATATATATATATATATGATCCTTCACGCTCACTCCCCAGTCCTACCCTCCTAAATAACCACTTTTAACTGTTTGTATTTATATAGACAGCTTTTTTTTTAATAAATTGGTTCATACTGTGCATATTGTTCTGTGCAGGGTTTTTTTGTTGTTTTTTCACTTAATACTGCATCTTGAAAATTTTCCTTGACAGCCCTTATGGCCAACTTCATGCAGTCTAATGGCTGCATAAGTGTCTCTTGTATGTTTTCCATAATTGATTTTCCTATTGCTAAACACTTGGGTTGTGTTGGGGAGGGTGCTATGCTACTACAAACACTGTTGCAATGAATTTTTTTTTTTTTTTTTTTTT